ATTTTTAATGTTTCGTTACATTAAATAAAACAAATGTATTTCAATTTTCAAGTTGTTTTTTAATAGTTCAATTTCCATCTTAATTTTTTCCAATTGTAAATCATGAAGTTGTTTTTCGAAGTCGTTTAAATTTTCGTCCCTTTTAAGTAGTATCCTCTCCCTTTTAAGTCTTTATACATGCAATTTTGAATCCTGTTGCATATCTATAGTGCATCGCTTTATTCTTGCTTCCGTTTCACTGCAAAGTTTCTTAAGACCTGAAAAAAATATAGTGCATGTAAACAAGGGTGTTGCTGTAGCAAGTGATTGATTATTTGATTACTAAACAGTAGCATCTGAGTTTAATCCCTGCCCACAGCTCTTAAACTGACAAAATATTCAGTTACCTGTGGTTGTAGTAGATATTTCCTTTCTTTTTTTTTGCTTGAAAGGGAACATTATTGTCTACTTCACATATACAATTAGTATCCACATTCATAACTGTAACAAAAATAAATTTTTGATGTAAGTATTGATACATGAAAAAAGCTTATATTACTACTTCAATATATTATTATGATAATAATAAAAACATACAGACCCTTAACGTCCCCGGCACAGTTTTCAGCTTCATCGAAGTTGGTAACAATTTTTGTATTAATATTTTCTGTCACTACTTCAAGATTCAAAGCTGAAATATAAAATAATGATTACTGGACATAATACACACAAAATGCTTTCATGTACATATTTTGCTCAAAGAAAATTGCCAGAACGCAAGTCGTTAGAGACAAACAGACATCCTTCAGGAAATACAATATGTATACCTTACCTTTATTATTATTAGTTACTTTTTTATATCTACTTCGCTTTGTGTCATCTGAAACTAAAATAAGTACATCATTTATAGGTCATTGATAATAATTATAAATTTTACTAGGTAAATTAGGTATTCTGACCATTTATACTAACTTTCTATAGAATTGGAGTCAATAATCTGATATTATTATCAAGCATATAGCAAGCCACATAGCAAGTTCATAGCAAGGCCACCTTCTGGTGGTCCTCGACCAGTACGTCTCATATTTATTGACTCAAGACAAAGCTCCTTCTTTCTTTGAGGTTTTATATTTTCCCAACATCTTTTTTTTGTATGTTATTCCTAGGTGTAACATAGGACTGTACATTATAGGAAATCGTCAGTTCATCCCAGGCCTTCTTCTTTCATTCTGTGTTTTGAGCGTGTGTACGCTTATCCTCAGTAATGGGCCGCTCCCGAACTAAAGCGACAATTAGTTCCCTTTCCGACGAAGTAAATGGTAACTTCTTTGAACTGTAAGAAAACAACACGTGTTATTATTTGCACGAAATTGACTACGAACAAGCAGAAACATTAAATGTAATACTTACCATATTTTAGGTGATTTCGCATTCATTGTAGGCGAGCAACTCGTATTCATAATGAAAATATAAAATTGTGGAAGTAAACTGTGTTGAGAATTCAAATGAGAAAATAATATCTTGGTTGAGTGACGTTTAACTGTCATTCAATCGAGCGAAGTCGCGTCACAGCGTTAACCAATCACGGCGCCCCATTCAATGCTATGTGTCCGCACAACAAAGAGTCCACTAAGTATTGTTTATGAAATGAGCGGCCTGCCCTTAGCCGCCTCTACACGATCGGCCATGATCGACACTCGTTGATCGTCTATAATCGGCAAGGTAATCGCCACCATCATCGTGCAAGCATCCACACGATCGTTGGTGATCATTTATTAAACGGCAAGCATTCAAGATGGTCGTGGAGGTTATAGCTGCAGCTACCATTAATTTAATTTCCATATACAATCGTTATATCAATGTAGTTGAACGAAAAGTTGCGAAAAATAATTGAAGAAAAGAAGATGGTGGTGTTTGAGCATTCATCGTAATAGAACAAAGTAAATATACCTATACAACTTAATAGGTGATCCTACAGCCCAGTTCTCACTATAAATATCTATTTCAGACATTCAATGGATAATCAGCTCTCTGAGCTATTGGCGGAACCTTCAGGGGAATTCAAAACTTTATTCGCATGTCGCTAAGCGATTTCAATTATTTAGTTGAAAAAATATCCCCATTAGTTGCAAAACAAGACACTACTTGGAGGGATTCTATACCAGTTAAAATCCGTCTTGCTATAACTTTGAGATTTTTGGCTACTGGGGATAGTTATAGAAGCTTGCATTATACTTTTAAAGTTTCAAGCCAAATTATATCTCAAATAATTCCTGTAGTATGCCAAGCACTGATCAAAATATTGAAGAATATGGTTAAGGTAAGTAAAACATAGATTAGATTTATCATTCATTTATTTTTAATTACTCAAACTCTTTATTTACACAAGCATCCAAAAATGCTCCATATAAAATATCCTGCGATTGAGCATTTTATGTAGACATATTTCGATTGTCTGGAGGTGAAGGGACAACCGAATAAACATGTTGAGAAATGTTTTGCTGATTCTGTATCCGTTGGGGAGATTCATATGAAGGTGAAGTGTACATGCTCGCCGACGAGCAGGGCCGATGTATGGCATTTTCTGGGATAAACGAACAATTACTTGAATTGCTTTGGACAGATGATGGATTGGTATCCATCAGCTGTTCAGAATACAATTTGTTTGAAGTAGAAGGGCGATTAGTTCTTATAATAATTTGTGATGGTGGCTAACATAACGATGCCTAGTTAATGAGCGCTTTTTCTTAATTATTAAACCGTCTATTTCATGTCTCAGTTCTAGTCTGTCGATGGCGCTAAATTCTCTCAGCACTTTGGCCAGAAGCCTACCATAGAGATCACAATCGTCCTCTTCAACTTTCCCACCTCTATTCCTTTTGACTGTTAATACGTCATTAAGGGTAGATAGCGTTGATTTTATTTGTGCATTGGTTTCTGCGAGTTCAGGCAGTTTTGTACTGCGCCGTTTTTGAACTGGGATAGACACCGTAGTACTTGATTCTTACCCCTGTGCAGACTACTGCATGTCCGGGATTTCATCAGCACCTTCTTAGTCTATCTAGAAAACAATAAAACATAGCATTAAAATACTTATTCTGTTTTTTTTTTTGTTTTAGTTACCAAGTAATGAATGGCTTGACAAGGTAAACAATTTCAGATTCCCTCACTGCTTAGGTACTCTAGACAGAAAGCACATGAATATACTACCACCTGCTCACAGTGCATCTGACTATTTTAATTACAAAGGTGGTTTCAGAATTTTTCTCCTAGCTTTAGTAGACGACGATTACTGTTTCATGTTTGCTGAAGTAGACGCCAAAGGACGGATCAGTGATGGCGCGGTATTTAATAGCAGTGTGTTATTGGAAAAAATGACGACAGGCACCATCAATTTCCCGTCACCTAGCCCACTTCCAGGAAGTAATATTGATATCCCCTATGTATTTTTGGGCGATGGAGCGTTTCCTTTAAGTACAAATTTAATGAAACCTTTTCCTTGTCACCATGCAATTGGTACTCCAGGAAGGTTGTTTAATCAAGAACTTTCTCGCTCTCGAGTAGTCGTCGAAAATACTTTCGGCATAATGGCCAGTAAGTCTAGAGTTTTTAAAAAACTTATGCAATTGTGTGATGTTAAGGCTTCTATTATTACCATGACATGCGTTTTATTGCATAATTTTTTAACCCTTAAAGTCGCACGATACTTTTAGCAAATGAAAAGAACTAAAAATGGTTTTAATGGTTTATTAGGCGTTTAAAAGAAGTTAAAAAAATACCAAAAAAAAAAATATAGAGGTTTTATTTTTTGGAAAAACCTATGTATAATATACTATACATTGCCACACTTGATGAAAATAATCTGCGATTATCAATGTATAGCATACTATACATTATACTTTATTACTGTTTTGTGTGGTACGCCAAGAAACAGTTCCTACCCTTAACTTAGCATAGATGTACATTGCATTTTGTGCACATTGTACTCGCTTAACCTCCTCTACAATATTTACAGCGTTGATAACCGGCTAACTGAGGCCAATGATCAAATTTGTCATACTGCACATTGTCAAGAGGCCTCTCGGCCATCGGTTTCTAAATCTTACTTTTTCAGGTACAGATAAAATGTCTTTTACGGGTACAATTCTATTACGTTTCAGAAGTCCAGCATAAATTTCGTAACGAAAGTCTTTTAGGCGATCTTGCTTTCTCTTTTTATTTATATGGTTGTCGTATCTACGACGTCACATTGTTAATGAAAATGTCCAACAACTGAGAAAAAATGTTCATATACCATCTGTGAGACTTTATACCAGTGCGATATAATGCTATTAACATATCCGCCAAATCCACACCTCCCATATGGCGGTTATAATGCTTGACGATTTGAGGACACTGTATGTCTACGCGTCCTTTCGATTCCTTGCTGAAACGTTTGATATTCTCAAGAGGAAAAGCGTCAACATAGGAACTTACAAGCCTAACATGCTTACTATCGAACCAGTTCACCACACTCAATTTATTGTCGTTGCACACCACTTGAGTAAAGTCCCCTCATCAATAATTGTAGATTCTGCATCTTTCAAACTATTTTTACTTACAGTCCTCAAACTAAATATATCATATACCGTAATTGTCACGTAAAATTTTAAAATAGTTATCAAAATATACGACACTACATGCCTGTTTTCTTATAGTTTTGCATAAAGCCAAAATTATTTTCCCTCCGAGACCCAAAGACTCTTCTTTATTTGTAAATTGCACACCTGTTAACGTATCATCGCCAGCATAAAGTAGAAAATCGTAGATAATACCGGACACACCGGCTCTAACCAGATTTTTAAAGCCCCACTTACTTGGCTTATTTGGGTTATACTGGCGACGGCTGCCGGATTTTTTACCTTTGTAGAGTATGACCATCTCATCAATACTGAAAGCATTTTCGTCCTCGACGGATAAACATTGTGACCGAATGCATTGAATTAGGGGTCATAGTTTATAATACATATTCTAGTACGTTTTCATTGCCCACGTGTCACTAAAGGTAAAAGGACATCCGCTATGGGAGTAGATGGTTCAACAGACGGTATAGATGATACAGAAGAAATTAAAGATATTGCGTCGTAATTGCATTGCGTAGGGATAGAGAACACGGCGTTCAGGATTGGTGTTAGGGAAACTTGATAAGTCTCTGGATCCACAATAAAAAGGTCTTCTGCACGTGATTCCACCTCCTGCTTCGAAGGACTGGGCGATGAAGTGGCACTGCCGAGAATTGCGACTTTTTCAAATGATGAATCCAGAGACGGCGCTGGTGAACTCTCGACATCTCTGACTTCATCACCACCACTGGATCCATCACTAACATCTGAACTAGCATTTCGTACTGAAATCAAAGACAATATGCGTCTCGCTCTTCCGTTCATTATAGTCTAAAACAAAACGAAACCAACATGCAGCTCAACCATCACCCAATTAAAAGCCAAAAAGTTATTTATGCACTATGCGGAACTCGTATCATACCAAATCAATTAAAATTTGTTAGTAATATGTTAGTAGCAATGTATAGTATTCTATACAAATAAATATAATGGCAAATAGTAGCGATTGTAGCACTGTATAGTATACCATACACGAATGTAAACAAGTTAAAATAATCCAAATATGACAACTTCCAGGCCATTTAAGTTACACAATGGTTGGAATAACTCTTCACCTTTTCGATTTATGCATTACAAACCTGTAATAAGAAACAAAATCACGAAAATTAGTAAAACTCACCTTGACAATAATTTCTGGCCGCGGTTTGTTCGTTATTTTTGACAACTGATTCAAATTTACCACAGATTAGCTATTTAGTGTGATGTTGACGTAAAAAGAAACGATCAGAAATATGTCTTGTAATGAAATAATGCAAATAAAACGTGTAAAAACTTAGTAATATTTTTTAAAGTAAGACGAATACCATGCTATACAAAGTCACTTTAAGGGTTAAGAAAAAGTTCAACGTTTAGGGAACTGTACAATCCTCCAGGTACCACTGATCAGACATGAATGTCAATGAGGTTCTTGGAGACAGAATAATGGTAGCGTATTCACATCGCTACAATCAACACCTCGAAGAGCTACAAATAACGCTACCCAAATAAGAGAATGCTTCTTGACTTTTTTAATAATTCTGCTAATTAGAAGTTATCGTTTTACTTCAGATAGCCTAGTGCGATAATTGTGTTTCCCAATAATTTCCTTTCCATACTAATTGCACTAGACACTCTGAATACTTTTATAACTTATAGGTATGTACTTATTTCAAATAAACTATTTCAAATAAACAATGTAGGTACGAATTGTATTGAGAGTAATAAATAATATTTACCTAAGGTAAAGTTTTACTTATATCGACTTTGTCCGCCGTAACAAGTACCGACTTGCACTCATACACGTCAATCATAAAGGCCGCTAAAGCGTCATAAAAGACCCATATAGGTTTAAACACCTCGTCTTCTCCGGCACCAGATTTGAGAGAGGCGACAACTTTTTTATGATTCAGCCGGAAAGCTGCTAACAAGGTTTCCTTTTTCCTTTTAATTTCGGAAACTGGTACTAACATTTCCTCAGCAATACGAGCCCATGCATCGTTCACCTGTAGAAAACATAATGGATGATTTAAAATTAACAGAATGAAACAAATTAGCAATTATAAAACTCATAATAAAGATAAATAAATAACTAAGTACCTACCTTATTTTTATCTTTATGATATTTATGTTTAGGATTCCATATTACTGGTTAGTTCTGATATAGTTCTATGAACTTGAATGTCTCTTCATTTGACCACCCAGTAGTCATTGTTTCGCACTCGCACTCACTTTTATTTAAAAACTTGAAAACGACGCGACGTACGCACTGCTCGCTGTCCTCCGGTGAACGAATGATCGGCGATCGTGTGGGCACGCGCACGCAATTACAAGCGATTCCCTTTGATGTGTGCCCGAAAAACCGACAAGGCACCGATCGCCACGATCACGACGACGATCAACGACGATTGAGGACGATGATGAGCAACTACAGGCGATTAGCCCCTCTAAACGATCGTGATCGCGTGCAATCGCCCATCATAGCCGATCGTGAAGAGGAGCCATTACTTAGCATAGTATAGCTGCCATACCTATGTAGGTATCGTTCGTGAATACGGGTCTAAGTGGATAAGAAAGTAGCTCACAGGTATTTTCCAGGTGTCATTTACGGCACTAAGGAGGCTATTGCAGCAGTAACTTGATGTACAATTTTGTTTGCAGTGGAGGTACTCATACCTCCATAGTCACCAATACTCATCTGCGTAGAATTGGTTGCATAGAACCTCAAAATTACTAACAACTGATTTATCGTTGATATGGAGAAATTTCTGTAAAATAAAATTGATTATGTTAGAATCAAGACACTCAAAATGACAGAAGTCTGCAGTAGACCAATGCAGTCACAAACTGGCTTAAGAATGGGTCGAACATACCTCCAGAGGTAGACCACCAGCCATTTTGCATATTGTTTTAATGATAAAGTTTATAAATAAGTAGGTTTTTTTTATAGAACGGGGGGCAAACGAGCATGCGGCTCACCTGATGTTAAGTGACTACCGCCGCCCATGATCAACCGCAACACCAGGGGAATTGCAGGTGCGTTGCCGGCCCTTTAGAAAGGAATAAGCTCTTTTCTTGAAGGTCCCCAGGTCGTATCGGTCCGGAAAAATCGCCGGTGGTAAACTATTCCACAGAGAGGTTGTGCGCGGAAGAAAACTCCTTTTGAAACGTACTGTGGTGGACCGCCAGGCATCCAGATGGTGTGGATGGTATCGGGACGTTTGCCGCGTAGTGCGGTCACGAAATTTGGCGGCTGGCATTAATCCGAACAATTCCTCAGAGCACTCTTCATGGTATATGCGAAATAAAATGCAAAGATATGCAACATCTCTTCGCAGTGCCAGTGAATCGAGCCGATCGAAAAGCACTCGGTCGTCGACGATTCGAGCCGCTCTGCGTTGGATGTGGTCAAGTGGAAGGAGCTGGTACTGGGGAGCCCCAGCCCAGAGATGGGAACAGTATTCCATGTGCGGCCGAACCTGCGCCTTGTAAAGTCGCAGGCGGTATGCCGGCATGAAATACTGTCCCGCTCTGCTGAGCACGCCAAGCTTTTTAGAGGCCAATTTGGCCTTCTCTTCCAAGTGACCACGAAACTGCACGTCACTCGATATGTCAACGCCGAGGATTCCGATACTGGCTGAGGCAACAAGGGGAGTGCCTTGAAACTGAGGAGATACGACAAAGGGGTTCTTTTTAGCGGTTAACGCGCAAACTTGTGTCTTCTGGGGGTTAAACTGGACTAGATTTAGTCGCCCCCAATCCGAGACTCTGTTCAGCAAAGACTCGACTTCAGACACAAGTTTGTCCCGGCACTCGGAGCCGTTTTCCCGAAAAATATTGGCTCGGCGGGTGTAAAGAGCATCACCAGTGCTGTCATCTGCATAGCAATGAATGTTACGGGTTTGCAACATATCATTGATATGCAGAAGAAACAGCGTTGGCGATAGCACGCAGCCTTGTGGAACACCAGGTCGATGGATACTGTACCAAACAGGTAGCTACATTATTTATAGGTAAGTACCAGACAATGTACCTACTCACCAGTTTGAAGAATATTCCAACTTATGCTCAATTTTAGTTAGCAAACAAAAAGTGGCTTCTTTGGATAGACGAAATCTAACAGCGAAGTCTTTGTCATCATAATCTTCGAAGTGATTAGTTGTTTCATTTATCCACTTTGAAGCCTTGGCACGTAATCATCGTCGCCATCAGATTCTTCGATTATATTTCTCAACCATTCCTTTTAGCAGGCTTTTGATTTAAAACCACATAAAAATAAAAAATATCAACACGGACTGATGATTTTTGACAAGATAAATGTACATAACCTAACATTTTGACATTTCATTATTCCTGGTTTAAGGTTTTACTCCACCAAAATCGGCCGTATAAAGTATACTCTCGTATTGATGCGGTAATTTGGTAGGCAAATTGAGCTCCGAGTAAATAGCAGTTTATTATAAAAATAAAATTTACTCTCGTTTGGTCGAATCCGCCCTTAGGCAGATTATGAGATCAATCTTTAAATCAAACTTAATTCGATTAAAGGAACTTAAATCTTAACATAAAATAAAACAGAATCTGAGTTTAATGTATGTTTGACACTCACGAGGATTCCGGTAAATTTTGCCAAAAATCTCGTTTCTGGCCTAAGAGGCAGTAACTCTGATATTATTCTCTCTTCGATATTTTTATACCTTTGTAGGCAACCTTATTATTAACATGTGGAAAACTTTCATTTTAGATAATTTTTATTTGTAAGTTCTTTTCAATCAGCTACATGATTTTCTTTATTTTAATGAAAATTGTCTCCTTTCAGCCTTGAATGCAATAATTTTTTTTAACCCTCCGTGTCGAAGCACGTAAGCGACTGTTTTGCTGCGATTTCCGTCGTGAATAGCCTAATTGGCGAAAAATCGCCTACGTTGACAACACTGACTGCAGCGCGCTCCGGTTTTTCTGCCGCAGAGTTCGGGGTTTGACACATGTTGAAAAAAACCGTGCGGTGCCGCACCGCAACATATTTGTGGAAAATCACAGATATTTTAGCGCATGCGGTGAATGGAACGACATATTCAAAGACGGCGTATTTAAAAGATGTGAATCAAGATATTGACAATAATTAAAAAAAAAAACAAATACTTAACTTACTGGTAGCTTAAACACGCATGGAAAGTTATATTTTTAATATATTTTCAAAATGTCCACCACCTTGTACAATATATTTTAATTCCCGTTTTCTTAACATTAACATTTATGAAAATTTAATGTACGAATACAAAAATAAAAGTAGTTTTGCAAAAATAAGTGATATTCATTTTGTAAAAACTAGGAACAGACACAAGCCAGTAGTACCAGTTATTCGACTTCACCGAGTCAGTAATTCATTCTTTGGGCGATGTATAGGCTTTTACAACAAAATCCCAGAAAATATACAAAATTTGACATGCACAAAGTTCAAAAACTTTATTAAACTAAGTTTGTATAAAAAAGTTTAATATAATATTAAGGAATTTATGGATGATAATAACCCCTGAGAAGGGTGATCGCTAGCAAGCTATTTCAAATTTTTTTTGTGTTGTTAATTGTAATATACGTGATTTTTTGCCCTTATTTTAAAAAAAGTATTCCCGCTGGGTTTCTTGCTGGTTCTTCCCAGGACAGAGTTTTTTTTGCGAACCAGCGGCAATGAAAAAAAAGTGATTTTCAATAAGTATTATGTATAATCTATATTGAGTAAAAAAGTTTCTTAATTGATATTTAAATTAGAAACGCACTTCACTGTCATTTTTCATTATTCCAAAAGCGTTCATTGTCCTATTTTTTTGGTCTTCGTCACTTGTTGTCTCACTAAAATAAACTAATGATTTAATACGTCCCAACAAAAAACAAGTCAAGAAGCGTCGAATCCGCTGATCTGGGAGGCCACTGGACAGGGCCACTGTCAAGGTGCTGTCGAACACTCTTAGTGAAATGAGCAGAAGCACCATCGTGTTGGTAGCAGCGTAGGTAGAGTTTCTCAACAAAACAGTAAATATGCATCTTCCGTTAATCTTTGTAAGAATACAGGCCCCAGTATGTGTGTACCAATGACGCCGGATCAGACGTTAATTGAAGAACGGTGTTGAAGGGAATCCACTCAAGGTATGCAAATGTGTGTTGTGTTGATTCTACATGCCCACACGTGTGAATATACTTTCATCTGTACAAATTATGTTCCGCTGCCAATGTTCTAATAACCAACGGCTGAACTGCAAGCGTGGTGAAAGAAAAAAGGAGATGAGAGAAGATGTGTTTGAATAAACCAATCCGATTTCGTTATTTCCACATCTCTTCTCCGCTTAGCTTCGGCGGAAATGGATCAAGCGGAGAGGAGAAGAATGTCTCATTTTTCTATAGAATTTTGTGCAGCGAGCGGGCAAGTGGTGCGACAGAGCCGAGAAGTGTCTAGTTGGGCGGCCGGGCAGCGCATGCGCCACGTGATCGCGTACCCTGCTGCCTCGCACACCCAAAAGCGACATTCGATTGACTCACTTAAGCCTTGAAGACACCTATCCATATTATTATGAAATGGAAGGACATAATATGCGGCTTTGAATGCAAGCGTGCGTCGTCCGTATTTTAATAATTTCAGTTTGAAACTTGTAAAAAGCTTTCATCATCAAACTCTTGAAACAGTGTGGCATATTCGCCATGACTGTGGCATTTTATATGGTTTCTTATCCAGAATCTATGTTGTCGTCTATAATTTAAATATTAAAGAATCAGTTGTGTTTCTTCAACATCTAATTCCTCTTCCTCAAGGAAATTCAGATACAACTTTTGTAACGACATGAAGTCTACCTCTCGTAGATAGAACTTGATTGGTTTCAATCTCTGACAGCTCACATCAATGCTACACAAAGCTCACATCTCCTCTTCGCTACACTTCTCTTCTTTGCTTTGGTGGAAATAACCTGCCAGCTTTGCAGCACATTTCTCGTCTCCTCTCCACTCTGATTTGGTGGAAACTGAGTCTGACGGCCCGCTCAGCTGACCCTGGTGAGTCACCGCAACCGTTTTACTTGCTCGTTTGATTTTTTCAAGTTGTGTCCTTGATTTATTATTAACCAATAGCGGAATTCAAAAATTCAAAGCTGTTTTTTTAAACCTGCAACCCTTCCCGCGCTTTTAATTTAAAACGATGGATCTTACCCGTGAAAATTTGCGCGCTATGGTCTATTTTGATTTGAAATTTGGTTTAACCGAACAATTAAGTTTACAACGGTAACAATCAGCATTAGGGGACTCAGCTCCAACACGCGCATAAATTTTTAGGTGGTTTGCTGAATTCAACAGGGGTAAAATTAACCTTAAAGCTGACCAAAGAACCGGGGCCCCGCAAACAGCAGTAACGGCAGATAATGTATGGACTACTGAAATGTTGGTACGAGAAGACCAACGAATCACATATAAGAACATCGAAAAGATTGTAGACATTAGTTTGGGGAGAATTCATACCATCTTACATCAACATCTTGAAGTGTAGAAGCTTTGTTGTCGATGGATCCCTCGTTTGCTCTCCGAAAGCGAAAAACAGACTCGTGTGGATTGGTACCATGAAATGCGTCTGCCTATTGAAAACGGGACATCTAGGCGTGTTTCAGAAATCATGGTGACGAAACATGGATCTATCAATAAGATCCGGAAAATAAAAGGCAATCATTGATATGGGTCTACTCAGAAGGACAGTTACCGACAAAACTTCAACATTTGTCAATGTTGGAAAATTGTAGGTCAGTCAACTCTGAATGACAACTCTAAAACACTTGCATCACCCAAAGCTTTTCAAGCTGTGCAGGAGAGAAGACTAAAGACCGGGTTTCGTGAAATCATGCTGCTTCCCGATAACGCCTCT